CAATGGCACTGTACCAGACTGTTACAATGACACTGTGCCAGACTATTACAAATGACACACAGTACCAGACTATAACAATGACACACTGTACCAGACTATTACAATGACACTGTTCCAGACTATTACACTGACACACTGTACCAGACTATTAAAATGACACTGTACCAGACTATTACAATGACACTGTACCAGGCTATTACAATGAAACACTGTACCAGACTATTACAATGACACTCTGTTCTAGACTATTACAATGACACTCTGTTCCAGACTATTACAATGACACACTGTACCAGACTATTACACTGACACACTGTACCAGACTATTACAATGACACTGTACCAGACTATTACAATTACACACTGTACCAGACTATTACAATGACACACTGTACCAGACTATTACAATGACACTGTACCAGACTATTACAATGACACTGTACCAGACTATTACAATGACACTGTACCAGACTATTACAATGACACACTGTACCAGACTATTACAATGACACACTGTACCAGACTATTACACTGACACACTGTACCAGACTATTACAATGACACACTGTACCAGACTATTACAATGACACTGTACCAGGCTATTACACTGACACACTGTACCAGACTATTTCAATGACACACTGTACCGGACTATTTCAATATGTTTATAATTGTTCATATTAGTTGTTTCAGGTGGAAGATCTGCACCACCTGGCGCCTACAAACTACCTTACCATCGCGATCGTCCGGAAGCTCCACGTCCTCACAAATCACAGAATAAACGTCGTCGAGACAGGCCATCACATAGAGACAATGCTGATAGATACAGATCAGGTAGGTTTAATTTTATGTTCTATGGTCTCACTGAACTCATTATATGCTATAGAGACTCATCCATCAAAGTAAATTGTATGAAATCTGATCTGACATAAACAACAGTATTTTTCATTGCTTCCTGTCAGTGATTAATGAGGACTTTAATATATATTATAAAAAACCACTGTTACCAATATTTGAAACCATTGTTTCATTGGAAAATTCAGAAATTTAAAACGTTATCAATAAGCGCAAAATTGTGAAATGAAATGTCAGTGAAAATGGAGTACCTTTATAGTACATGTATTATAATTATGATGGAATAAAAAAAAAATTACTTCAGTATTCCTTCGAAAAAAGAGAAGTATGTATGTATGAAACGTGAAATTTTTACATTTACTACTAGTGAAGTGTGTCATTAAAACTGTTTTTTTTTAGCTCCACTGTCTATTTTGTCGAGCAGAGCTAATCATACATGTATCTGTTTTCATGTCAACTTTTTTAGTTTTTCGACTTCTTCTTGAAAACTACAATTCTTATCGCTTTGATACTTTGTGGATATCTACTTTGGTACTTTGGGTAGTCCAATTGCTTTGATATTACATATATAGGTACTACATGCGGACCTCTTCTCAGATTTGTTCATTGCATAGTGATATCTTCAATTCTCTAATTCTGATAAATATTTTTGTTATTTTTGATGAAAACAGCAAGTCTTTGCTTTGATAATGTACATATTGTTCATTTTCTAATGATGTCTTCAGTTCTTCTGCTATCTCAGCCGACAGGCTGCTTGTTGGTTTTTACTTTTATTTTTACCATTAAAATTGTGTATTTTAAAATAATGAAAAGTTTTTTATTTATCATAAATCACATTTTCTGTGGACTTTAAAATTTCAAATGATGGTCTTTAATGTTTGCTATATAGTTCTATGTATTTTTGAGTAAACTCAAGGTTCTGAGATGAACAACTTATACATGTAATTATAATAACATATTTTCTTTTCAGATGTTAGAGAAGAAGCAGTCCGAGAAGCCCTGGCAAGGCAGAAACAGATTCAGCCAGCAGTCCCTATGCCATCCAAAAGAAGCTCATTAATGACCAATAGTACGGCTGTAGAAACACCACCAGGTGAGAAAATGTCATTGTTTTTAGCTCCGCTGTCGACTTTGTCGAGCGGAGCTTATCATATGAGTGATTGTCCGTCGTCGTCCGTGTCAATGTTTTACTTTTTCGACTTCTTCTTGAAAACTTTAAGCCTGAATGCTTTGATACTTGGTGTATATGTACCTTGGGTAGACCTCTCTTAGGTTTGTTCATTTCATGTTGATATCTTCAATTCTCTAATTTTGGTAAATATTTTTGTCATTTTTGGTAAAAAGTGATATTTTCGACTTCTTGTTGAAAACTGTAAGTCCAATTGCTTTGATATTACATATATAGGTACTACATGTGGACCTCTCTCAGATTTGTTTGTTTTGTGATGATATCTTCAATTCTCTATTTATTTTGGTGAATATTTTTGTAATTTTTGGTAAAAAGTGATATTTTCGACTTCTTGTTAAAAACTGTAAGTCCGATTGCTTTGATACTATTCATATTGTTCATTTTCTAATGATGTCTTCAGTTCTTTAATTGAAATGTGCATTGCTACCAGCGGAGCTATCTCAGCCGATAGGCTGCTTGTTTAATGATACTTTCTGTTCTTTAATTGAAATGTGCATTGCTAACAGCGGAGCTATCTCAGCTGAGAGGCTGCTTGTTTTATTATTGAGTAAAATCAATTAATGCCATATTAAAACTACTGTGACCATGTTCAAAATCTTGCCTTTTGTAAGATTTCTGTGTGTTCACTGTGTGAGGGCGCTATTTTTCATATCACTGGTGATCAAGACTTGTTAGCAAAAGTAAAAATTCCATTTACCAAAACTAGTTGTACAATCAAATAATTTTTTTTTTAATATATAGTTCTGTTGATGGTCTGCAGAAATAAACTGATCCTGAGAACCTTTATCTCTTTATCAATTTATTCCTAGAATATTGGATTACCTTGGATTGTTTGCATTCAACTGTTGGAAATTTGCATATCAAAAGTCCCACTATATTTGAAGGGGATACTCAAATTTGAAATGAAATTGACATTTGTAATAAAATAATAATTTATTGTGTTCAAATGTAAAACATTCTGATTCAAAAATCGCCATTTTAATATTTCACACAATTTCTTCTCCAAAAATTTGATTTCATTTACAATAACATGTGGGTTGTAGAATACAAAGCATATGATGAAAGTTATATATCAGCTTGTTAATATTGGAAGTACTAAAGTCAAAGCAAACACTGCTGCAATTATTCCAGGGGATACTGCAATGTTTCAAGGAAAAACTGGAATTAATTTTCACTGAAAAGAAATTTGGCTGTTTTTTATATGACATTAATGTTCACTGAATTTTGATGAGTTAAACCAGGAAAAAAAGTATTTTCACTTGATTTTATTAGTCCCTGTTCGGACGCAATTTGAAAACTGGGACTTATGGTTTGACCAGATACAATGATGATCAGATACAAAATAACTGAATGTCAGTCATTTCAGTGTTAATAAATCACGATAATCAAGCATCAGCTTCTGGATTCATATCTTTGACATGTTTATGTTTGAACTATCTTACTATAAACAAAATTATTTATCTTAAGTTTGATAACTAACAGGGACTGTGTCATGCATATCTTGTTGTCATTGTTTCACTCCTTCAACGAAAATAGCAAAAAATTAATTGCAAGTGAGAATAAGTACTTTACAGTACTCTAGTGGTTTTCATGAACACTTTATTAGTCTCTGTTCGGACGTAGTCCGAAAACGGGGACTTATGTTTTGCCCTGTGTGCGTGCGTGCGTCTGTGCTCACCTATATCTCGAACATGCATGAACCGATTAAGTTCAAACTTCACTCATACGTCACACATTATATGGGACATATGCACATGCATTTTTTTCATGATCCGATTAACGATAGCCGATAGCCATTTTAAGGCCGAAAATGCATCAAAATCACACATTTTCACCATTCCGGACCCGGATCTCAGTTATGCATGGACGGATTTCGTTCAAATTTGGTACATACATTAAACATAATAGGACCTTGATGCACGTCATTTTTTTTTTTTTTTGGATCGGGTTTGAAATGGCCGACTGGCGGCCATTTTGTTTTAAAGAATTCAGTTCTGGATCCGTATCTGAGACATGCTTGGATTGATCGAGTTCCAACTTTACACACACAAGGTAC